GGGCTCCGATTGGGCTGGCACTGGTTCTCAGGCATCGCTGGTTGATTTGTCCCAGGAGTACAGCATCGTGATCGAGAAGCTCGCTGACGGCAAGTGGGTGCCCTTCGACGGGGACGACATCCAGCTGGAGTTCGTGCGCATCGACCCCTTCGTGCGCACCTTCCTCAAGAGGAACGGTGGGTCCCTGTCAGGAGGAGAGGGAGCTGCCCCTCTAGAGAGGTCCCCATCAGGAGGAGAGGGAGCTGCCCCTCTAGAGGAACAGCAGATCCCCATCAGGCGGAGAGGGAGCTTCCCCTCTAGAGAGGTCCCCATCAGGAGGAGATGGAGCTTCCCCTCTAGAGGAACAGCAGGTCTATCAGGAGGAGAGGGAGCTGCCCCTCTAGAGGAACAGCAGTTCTGTCAGGAGGAGAGGGAGCTTCCCCTCTAGAGGAACAGTAGATCCCTGTCAGGAGGAGCAGGAACTTCCCCTCTAGAGGAGCATCAGGTCCCTGTCAGGAGGAGCAGGAACTTCCCCTCTAGAGGAGCATCAGGTCCCTGTCAGGAGCGGGAGCTTCCCCTTTAGAGGAACAGATCTCCCTCAAGAGGAACAGGGTGTCCCTGTTGCTGCCCTGGCCCCACACTGGGGGTGTTTTTGCCTTCCACAGCTTCTCCTGTCCCCTCAGTGTCACCCCTGTCTCCCCCTCAGGTGGCAAATACAGCGTGCAGTTCAAGCTGCCGGATGTCTATGGCGTGTTCCAGTTCAAAGTGGATTACAACCGGCTGGGATACACCCACCTCTACTCCTCCACTCAGGTAAGTGTTGGGGTGTGAATCCCCCCTGTCCTGGAGGAAAGGCTGCCCTGGGCTGCAGGGGCTGCTCTGTCCCCGTGCAGGTGTCCGTGCGTCCCCTGCAGCACACGCAGTACGAGCGCTTCATCCCCTCGGCCTATCCCTACTACGCCGGCGCCTTCTCCATGATGGTCGGCCTCTTCATGTTCAGCATCGTGTTCCTGCACATGAAGGAGAAGGAGAAATCCGACTGAGCTCCCTGTGGGAGCCTTTTCCTGGTGCCAGGAGGGCCAGGCAGTGTCAGAGCCTCCCTGTATCCGTGTCAGGACTGGTGGGTGCCGGATGCACTGTGGGGCTGTGTTTGGTCTTTTTTAGTTTTACACCTGGGGGGTTATTGAGAATGACAATTAAATTTTGGGGGGGGTGAATCTGTTACCAAAGTGTCTGCAAACCTGGGACCAGGATGCTTCCAGTTCTCACTGATGAGTTGCAATGTTTGCTCACTCCACTGTTGGAATGATTTGGGTTCAGGTCGGGCTGGAATGATTTGGATGGATTGGGCTGGAATGATTTGGATGGATTGGGCTGGAATGATTGGGATTTGGAGTTGGGCTGGAATGATTTGGATTGCAGATTAACTCCCAGTTCAAAATAAAGTCTGGTTCCTCTCACCCTGGCTGGGAGTGAGGTGAGTTCATGGCCTGGGGCATGCAGATGCAATCCCAGAACTGAGGCTGTGTCCCCACCTTGCCTGCTCCAGGCATTCCTCAGGGTGGGAGGGAGGCTGGAGAGTGCTGAGAGGGAAAAGGGGGAGTCTGGGTCACACAGGGGGACTTGGGACACCCCAAAAGCACAACAAAGGGTCTGGGGTGTCACCAAAGGCACATGGAGGAGAACAGGGCAGGTCAAAACCCCCTCTGTGCCCCATCATGCAAACAGGTGAGTTGAGGGACACACCAAAGGCTCAGCAAAAGCCAGGGATTGCCCCCAAATGCACACTGAGTGGTCTAGGAGGAAAAAACCAGCTCGAAGATGTGATCCCAAAACAAACAGAGTGAAGTGGAGGAGCTGAAGGGGAGGCAGAGGTGTGAGATGGAGTGAGTGGCTCTTGGGGTGCACCTGGGCTGTTTTGGGATGGAAGGTGGGGAAATGACAGTGGGAGTGATGGGGTCAGAGGAACCAGTGGATGAAAGGATGAAGGGGAAGGGGCCTTGGCGGGCAGCAGGTGGGGCACAGGGACCCATGGGGATCCTTGGGACAACAGGAACCACCAGGGACACAGGGACACCCAGGGTGGGGCACAGGGACCCCCAGGGCGGGGCACATCCCGAGGGTCACCCAGGGACAGCAGGGACCACCAGGAGCACAGGGGGCCCTGTGGAGACTGCAAAGGCTGGAGGACATCTGGGGACATCGGTGCCGGCGGTAACACGGGGATCGCCGGTGAGCTGTGACGCCCGGGGCATAGGGAGCTCAGAGGAGCCCCGGGGACACGGGGACCAGCGGCTCCCTGGGGACACGGGGAGCCCAGAGGAGTCCCGGGGAAGCGGGGAGCCCAGAGGGCACACGGGGAGCCCAGAGGAGCCCCGGGGACGCGGGGAGCCCAGAAGAGCCCTGGGGACACAGGGACCGGCGGCACCCGGGGAAGCGGGGAGCCCAGAGGAGCCCCGGGGACGCGGGGAGCCCAGAGGGCACACAGGGACCGGCGGTGACACCCGGGCCCCTCCGGCCCCGCCCTGTGCCGGCGCGTTAAGGGGCGGGGCCTCCAGCTCGGCGCTCTCTGATTGGCCGGGCGCTCCTGATTGACGTGGGCGCCTGACCGGCGGGGCGGGTGCTTTGCGACGGCGGCGCTTGACGGCGGCGGCGGCGGCGGCGGGTGCGGGTCCGGGCGGGGGCGGCCATGCTGCTCACCGTGTTCTGCCTGCGCCGCGACCGCTCCGAGATCACCTTCAACCTGCAGGTGGACGCCGACTTCGAGCTGCAGAACTTCCGCGCCCTTTGCGAGCTGGAGTCCGGCATCCCGGCGGCCGAGAGCCAGGTCAGGGCCTGCCCCCGCCCCGAGCGCCGGGGAGGGCCCGGCCGGTGCCCCCGGGCTGGGAGCGGCCGTGCCCCTTCTCCCTCAGGGTCGGGGTCTCCCGGTCTGGGAGCGGCCGGGTCCATCCGGGATCCGCCCCGGCCATCCGGAGTTTGGGGTTGTTTGGGGCGGTGGGTCCCTCCCCTCACGGACCTTTGGGGTTTGGGGACAAACAAACCTCGCTTTTCCCTCAAAATCCGCTCGGGAGAGGGCTCCGAGCCCCGGTGCCTGAGGGGGGCCGCTCCGCGAAAGGCTCGGTCCGCGCCCGCCGCGCAGCTGAAGGAGAGAAGATAATGTGGGTTTGTTTTGGTTTGGTTTATGTTGAGGTTTCGGAGGAATTTGAGGATTCAACGGGGCAGGAATTGGAGCGAGGGGAACAGGAGTGAGCCCGCGGGGAAGATGGGGGCCCTTGGTGTCCTCACACCCTGGGAAACGGGGCTGAAATGTTCGGGAAAGGGTTTATTTATCCCATCGAACCCCTGCCCGGTCTGGGGCGGAAAGGGCACATTGAGTCTTTTCCTCCCTTTTTTCCACACAGGTGTGGGGACCGAGCAGGCACATCCGTGTGGTTTTCCCAGCAAATTCCCCCTGCAGCCCGGATCCAGGGCTCGCTCGTGTGCCAGCACTCGGGGGAGGCAGCGTGTGGGGGCGGCTCTGGGCCATCTGTCTGGGCTTTGCTCATGTTTTGGGTTCAGTCCCGCGTGTTTGGCCCTTCCTTCCCGCTTGTCCTGGGCAGGGCGGTGTCGGCTCCTTCTCTCGGCACCGGCCGTGCCTGGCAGAGTTTGTGGAGTTTGGCGGTGGTGGCTTTTGCTTCCCGAGCCTTTTCCCAGTCTAAATTAACAAAGTGTTTTTCCAGCCAAGCCAAGATTAGTCAGCGCTGGAAGAGCTGGTGCAGGGGCAGCCCCGGGGCTGTGCTGTCCCTCACCCAGCAGGTTTTTGACGTTTGGCTTTCCCTCTGCCTTGGGAGAGCCTTGTTTTCTGGAATGGGAGCTTGGTGGTGACAGGGAAACAGTCTCAGAGCAGGGGTAGGAAATCCAGGAAGGGTGGATTCTCTTTTAGGAAAAAAACCTTGATTTTGGGCAGGTGTAAAAGGGAGAACCCAGCTCACACAAAGGTTCCCAGCAACCCTGCCGTGGCTGTCACAGCCACCAGTGAGCTCCCAGGTCTGGGGACAACCCCTGCATGGGGGACTCTGCTGTGGCTTTGACATCCCCAGGCATGAACTGGAGCATAAACTCCTCGCTGTCACCTTTGTCCCTTGTGTCATGGTGACCTGCAGCCCCGGGTCTGGTTTAGGCTAACGAGGGGTCACTTCTCTGTGTATTTTTGGCCAGGAGTTCCCTTGTTTGAGTTTTTCCAGCCCAGCTGACCCGTGTGGGGTTTGGGTGCTGCCAGCCCCAGGCGAGGGGAGCAGCGCTGCGCTTTTGTAGCCACCTCTGCTTCCTTCTGCTCATCCATCTGCCAGCCCTGCATCATCCCGAGCCGCGTCGTGCCGTGCTTGCCAGGCTGGTATTTGTCACTCCTCTCTCTTCTCTTCTGCCTGCTGTTGGTGAGGTGTTTTGAGGACCTTCAGTGGGGAGAACACGTTGGACATCAGGAGGAGTTTCTTCATGTGAGGAGGGTGGTCAGGCCTTGGCAGAGGCTGCCCAGGGAGGTTTGGAAGTGTCCAAGGAAAGCCTGGATGTGGCACTCAGTTCTGGGGACAAAGTGGGGATTGCACCTCCGTGATCTTAGCGGGCTTCTCCAGCCTCAGTGATTCTATGAGAAACTTAAAAAGATACAAGTTATCACAGAAGCAGCTCCTTGTGTGGAAGGATTTTGCATTGTTAAATCACAAATAGGTGGTTTTACATTTACCAAACTTGGCTGTTTTCTGCCCTTTTTCTTCAGCCAAGGTAAATGTTGCATTGAAGGTGCTGTGTTGGCACGAGAGAGGATGAAATTCATTGTAAGGGTCATGCAGGGTGGAGTAAAGCACTCAGTTTGTGGAGGAGGGTTAATGCCAGCCTTGTTCTCTGCTGGTTTGGGCAGTGAATTCCGGGTGCTGCAGTTTGGGGTGGGGCAGGGAGCTGTGAGGTGTCCAAGGGACGCCGTGGGCACAGGTCTGAGATAACAGAGGTAGCTGCTGGTGGCTGTGGTGATAAGAGGAGCTGGGCGAGGCGAGTGGAAATAATCTGACTTTCCAGTCTCCTCCACACAGCAAGGCCGTGGCTTTGTGGGAGAGGGGACAGGAGGCTCTCAGCAGAGCCACACTCTTCATTCCTTCCCCTCATTTATCTTCTCTGCGTGCCCTCCATCTGTGCCATGCTCAGGAATATTTGATGGGACCAGGAGTTGCCTTGATGGATGGCTGCAGGTGGTGTCCAGCAGTGCTGCCTGGGGTTCCCTGCTCCACAGGAAGGTTCTGCCCCCTGGCATTGTGCACAACGAATCCATTGGTGCCTGCATCCCTGTCTGAGTCACCTCCAGAAGAACCCGTGTCTGGTGCCACCAACCAGACAATCAAAAAGCAGCAAAATCCAATCAGTTTGTTTTAAGACTGGGGCAGAATGGGTCAGCAGTGGATTAATCTGTGCTGCTAATGGACGTGGCGAGTGCCAGGCGCTGAATTCATTGTCTGGGATGTAAGGCTGAACGCTCATAAATCCAATCCCAGCGAGATGACAGAGGTAAAGCCTCACTTAAACTGATTAACTGGTCTCTTGCAGAGTGTGTGTGCAGGGAATGTGCCATTTCAGATTTGGGTGTGCAGCTGGGATTTATGACACGCTGGCTGTGCTGCGGCCTCGGGCCGGTAACGTGAGAGGCTGTGCCGGGCCTGCCAGCCCCGCTGACCTCGGGGTGCCTCTGGGGTGGAGGCCACTCCCTTCCAAACCACTGAGAGGGACCTGGGTGTGCGGCAGCGCTGGGGCTGCACGCTCTGCTGGAGGGGAGCAGGCAGGAAACTCGTGCCTGCTTCCATCGTGTGTGTGTTTCCCCAAATCTCTGATTGCTGCCCCACAAGGTTCTGGTCATTTGTGTTCCTCCTGCCTTGTGCTGCTGCTGATGGGTCTCCACTGCTGAGTGCTGCAGGGAGAGTCTGTGTAAGATGTTGGAGTTGCTGGAGTGACAGCCAGACCTGGAGACAGGTAGTGATTGGAGTTTTGGACCTTGTTGGATCTGCTCCCTGTGATAGCATCAGGCAGAGCTGCAGCCCATCCCTGCCAGCACTGCCAAAGCTGCTCCCACGTGGCTCAGCCAGCCCCAACCTGTGGCAAACGTGTTGTTGCTGAACTGGCCTTTTCCAGCCCCAAACAGACTGAGGTTTGGCTAAACAAGGTGGTATTTGTGAAATTTGATCGTGTGCCTGAGGGGTTTAGGCCAAGTTCTCCATGCTCTGGGCTGCTGCCAGGGCAGGAGGTGCTGGGCTGATCTTCCTGGTCTCACTGTGCTCCAGTGACAGCACAGAAACCTTCGTGCTGCCAGATGCCATTTCTGGGAACTTCTCTTCCAGGCTTATGTTACATTTTGGGCTTTCCCACAGCTGAGGGCTTCTGTAGGTAGTACAGGTCTGATGTTCATGGAAATGTTCCTTGGGGGTTATTCACCTTTATCTCAGTGTTTTTATGTTAAGTCTATGGAGCCCTTGTTAAAGCAAGTTATCAAAGTAGAAATGGATGTGACTTTGTGTTTTGTAGTCGCAAGGAATTGATTCCCTGCATGGACTGGTGGCAGTGTGGGGAGCAGAGCTTTGAATGCTCTGGGTCTGGAGAGTTGCATCACTGGGGTGAGCTGGAAAGCACAGAGCTAATGAATAAGGTCCCTGTAAAACTGGTTATTCTGGGGAGCTGTGTTGTGGCAAGAGGCAGAACGATGGATGTTGGGCTGGATCTACCTGGCTTGGTGCTGCTGGCATGTCTGCAGTTGTCCAGGGTCAGTGGTTGCTGACTTGGGGAAGGGAACGCTGCAGAAAGTGCCTGTGGCTTGTGTAATTGTGGAGTTTGGGAATGTGGACAGACAGTCCTGGTCAAGACTTGCTTCCCTCTAATGATCTTGGCCTCTGATAGGGGAGACCAGCCCTTCTCCACGGTGCCACAGCTGGATTTTTGGCAAGCCCAAGCCCAGGTTGTCCAGGCAGGAACGTGCCTGAGGCCAGGCCTGTGAGGACATCACACCTTCCCTTCTGAAGCTTGACATGGATCCACAGGATTTATTGGAATGATTTGTTTCTTCTCCTATACAAAATAACATCTTGTTTTTGTTTTAACTTCTTCCCTGCCTGGTGCTCTCCTGGCACAGATCGTTTATGCCGAGCGGCCGCTGACCGACAACAACCGCTCCTTGGCCTCCTATGGCTTGAAGGACGGCGACGTGGTGATCCTGCGCCACAAGGAGACGGTGGAGCCGCGGCCCTCCCTGCGCTTCCCAGGTGAGACAGCTCCGTGCCAGCTCTGCCTGGCCTCTGGGGTTCATCAGCACTGCCCAGCACAGGCAGTGTCCTTTAGCACAGTGCTGAGGGGGGAGCGTGGCTGGGGTGAGGCGGGGGGGATTGTAAATGACCCAGAGGGCTTCTGATGCAGTGTGTTATTCTGAAGAAGGCAGCACCATTTTAATGTTCCTCCGAGGAGGTGTGGAGGCAGTGAGGAGGTGACTGGTTCAGATCAGGCTTGTTAAAGGTGTATGAGTTTCCTACAGCCACTGGTTCCCTTCCTGCTGGATGAGATGGCTCAGACCCAGCCTCTATGGATGTGTGTCCTGAACCTGTCCTGTGGCAGATTCCCTGAGAAGCCACATCTTGCCAAGCCCTGTGACTTAATCATGTGTGCATGCCAAATGCTCCTCTGGGAATGCCTGAGTGGAGCCTCTGTCCTGCCTTCCACAGCTGCTCCCAGCAAATCCCCAACATAAAACATCCCTAGGAAAGGTGCCACAGGCTGAGAAGGGCGTGGGAGCATTGCTGAGGTCCTCATCCTGCCTCAGCTGGAGGATGGGTACCTGCAATGCAGGTCTGCAGGAGTGTTACTACTTTTTTTTCCCCCTGCTTTTCTTTAACCCAAGAGCCTCTGAAGTGCCTCAGAGCCACTGGGTTTAGCCCTGTAGTCCCTCCATGAGGAATTCACGTTTGTGAAGCAGGGAATAACCAGTCAGCAAGTGCATTTCAGGGGATTAGAAATGGGGCAGACAGACGAGACCAGTTACATAAACGAGCCAGCATTGCTAACCCAGTAACCCGGGGATGTGGCTGCTGCTCAGGGAATCTGCTCTGGTGCAGCATTGAGGGCAGCTCTTCCTTCCAGTGCTTTTCCCAGCAGAACTGCAACCACGAAGCACCCACACGTGTGCCCTTCCTTTCAGGTCTGCCCAGGATCGATTTCAGCAGCATTGCCGTTCCCGGGACATCCTCGCAGCAGCCTCCGCCCCCTGCGCAGCGGCCGCGCCCCTCGCCCCCGGACGCGCCCTCGTTCCCTCAGGGCCTGGACAACCCGGCCCTGCTGCGGGAGATGCTGCTGGCCAACCCCCACGAGCTGTCCCTGCTCAAGGAGCGCAACCCGCCCCTGGCCGAGGCCTTGCTCAGCGGGGACCTCGGTGAGCCGGGCTTGGGGCTGGGATGTGCTGCATTCCTTGATAAAAGGTGCAGATAAAAGGTGCCAGGTGGGAGCCCTCAAGGCAGAGGTCCTCCATTTCTGCGTGTATTTCTCCTGCTTGGCATTTTTAATATCCTCTTTAATATCTCCTACTCAGAAATATCAGAGGCACAGACAATTTGGGTGTCTGTGAACACAAGTGACTCAGCTCCTGATTTTTACACTAAGATACTCCTTGCTGCACATTTTCCAATAAAGGTGGTGTGTTTGCTGCAGCCCAGCTGGGACTCAGCAGAGAGCAGCACACTCCAAACCCAGCTCTGTCCATAGTGACCTTGTGCTGTGGAAGTGAATTGCAGAAAGGGAGAGGGAAAAGAGCAAGGAAATTGTGTTTTTTAGGAACTTTCTCAATAGAAATAGTCATAAATGTGTACATTTCTGTTAATCTTGGAAGTGTGTTTTGGGCACAGTTGAAACCTCGTCCTTTGCTTCTTCTGTAGCTGATGTTGGTCCCTTGTTCTCCCTGTGGTGAAAGATTTGAACTCTGGTGTCCTTTAGGTGTGAAAAGAGAGGAGTTTTGGGCTGCAGTAGATGAGCTCCTGAACCTCTGCAGGATGTTTAGTTGGGAAATAAATCCTGTTGAGTGTGGAGAAATAAATGAAGAGAAGGAGCTTCTAGCAGGAGATTTTATCCACTCTCAGGGTTAAATCTGAGTGATTTCTCTCTGTTAGAGGAAACCAGAGAGGAACTTCCATGTTGTCAGCCTGTTCTGTTTTTAACTCTGCCTTTAGTTCATATCAGAGCTGAAGCTTTCTTTGCACTCTCAGGCTTTTTCATGCATCTTGCTGGGAGCTTTTCCCATCACCTTAAGCAGGGGTGCTGCTCTTGGCACAGGAAACCAGAGGTTAAGCCCAAGACACCCAGAACTGGCTCCTCTGCTGCTCTGCCTGATCTGTGGACATGAAGCTTTGACCCAGTTGTGCATTTTGAGTCCCAAATTGCCGCATTGGGCTGTCAGGAGGAAGTGCTTTGGGCTGGTTCTCCCTTGCTGTGCTGCACTGCTGCTGCTGGCAGCGTTTGGGCACAGCTCCAGCTCAGCTCCAGCTTGGATTCCCAAATATCTGCAGAGATCCGTGCCCTGTGGCTGTGCTGGATGAAGGCACTGCTGTACAGAAGCCTGATTTCAAAAATCCAACAGTCAAATATACCCAACACCTCCCTGAGCACAAACAGCCTTTGAGCCAGAGCTGCTGCCAGGGCTGCCAAGGCCTTTTGGGGATGTACATGACCCCATTCCAATGGTAAAACATGGCCAGAGGCCATCTGGAAAGTGGGAATCTAAAAACTGATCTTAAAATGTGCATTTAGACCTAGCTAGCACCTCCTGGTAGGCATTCAGCTTTAGGGGTTATAATCTGTGTTTTTGCCATGTTCCTTGGGTTTGAAAGGAGTTTTGTCATTAGCCTTTGTGTGGTTTTTAAAATCTTTTTCTCTATAAAAATGTATGTGCCAGGAAATTGAGTTTGATTGTGCAGTGTTTGGGTAGGAACATGAGGAGAGCGAGCTCTGTCCAGTTGCTTTTCATCTCGGCAGGTTCCCAAGTTTGCCACTGATCCTCTGAGGTCCTTCCACGCTGCCCTCAGAGGAAGCTTTTTCCTGTGTGCTGCTGAGTCTATTCCTCAGCTGGCATCAAAAGAAGCGTTTGCTGTGCCAGAATTTGATTTGCAAGAGTAATTTCCAGTCAAAAGCATTTCTTTATCTCCCTGTTCCCGCAGAGAAATTCACCAGGGTGTTGCTGGAGCAACAGCAGGACCGAGCCCGGCGCGAGCAGGAGAGGATCCGGCTCTATTCCGCCGACCCCTTTGATCTCGAGGCACAGGCCAAGATAGAAGAAGACATAAGGTAACAAACCAAAGTGGATTGTGGGCATTGGGGTCCTCTCTGGGGAGGAAAAACTGCTCTGTGCTTCCATCCACGGTGTTTTTTCCTCAGAGAAGGCAGAATCTAAGCACATTCCTTGTACCAAGGAGTTTGTGTGCAGGGCAATGCTCTGGGCCACCTTTGCACGTGGGAAGGTTGGTGTCACAGGGAAATGAGGGCCTTTGCTGGGGACACAGCCATTTGTCAGTGAGGGGAGACTCAGACACTCAATATGAGTGATAAGCAAATTCCGTTTATTGAAGAGAGCATCAGACACTTATACAGCGAGTAATAAGCTTATGAATATTCTGTAAGCCAAGCAATCTATTGGTTAAACTATGCCATGAACTCTTCCTCATTCCGTAGGGGTTCCATCTCTCTTTTCTCATGTCTCTTTCACTGTTTGTTATCCCACCACAGCTAGGCCCAAGGACACTGCTATCTGTGCAGGTGCAGCACTTGGAATTAGCCATGGTTTTGTATTTTTCCATTTTCTAGCAGCTAAATTCCCAACAGGTTGGGATTTGGGAACATGGAGGTGCATCCCCCAGAAACGTGTCCCACTGAGATCAGAGTGTTGTTCCCTGTGAGAGTGGGAAGGCCCTGGCAGAGGCTGCCCAGAGAAGCTGTGGCTGCCCCATCCCTGGAGTGTTCAGGGCTGGACAGGGCTTAGAGCAACCTGGGACAGGGGAAGGTGTCCCTGCCCATGGCAGGGGGTGGCACTGGGGGGGCTTTAAGGTTTCTCCCAGCCCAAACCATTCTGGGACTGTGTGATACGAGGTGACAGCACTGTTATCTGTGCTGTCTGTGTGTGATGTCTTGGAGCTGCCTGAGCTGCTTCACTGGAGCACTTGTGGAGAGCACATCCCCTTGAGGCCTGGGGCATGTTTTGAGCCCAAGAGCTGTGCTGGTGCTGTCTCCCAGCTGAGCTCTGCACAGCAACAGGGCATTGTTCCTCCCAGCTGCCCTCGAGATTGGCTTTTGCATCCTGCTAATTGTTCCATGTCTGGCTAATTCACTGATGAGAGGCTCTGCAGAAATGCATCCTGCTCATCACTCACTCCCTCTTGCTGCCTTCCAGATGTAATTGTGTTGGGCTCAGGCTTGATTTCTTCAGCTGAGTGCTAAATCCTGGAGTTGGTTCATGGCTGGTGGTTTTCCCCTGATAACAAAGTGTCTGTCTGCTACAGACCCGTTGTTGGGCAGAACCAGAATTCACTGGTGGTAGGAGTGCTCTCACATTGCAACTGACAAGGTGTTGGTGCCAGATAAACACCCAGAAATGCAGAAAATAGATATTTGTAGGTAGTGAAACATTGCTCAGAGCACAGGAACGCTTCCCTTCTTCCTTAGATGAGGGACAGATAAAGGGGTTGTGCCCAAGGTTCTGCAGCTGTTTGGGCTGAGCCATCCCCAGATTTCACACCCCATCAGTGAAAAACGAAATGGTATCAGGATTGAAGCCTTTTCCCTTTTTGGGGAGACAAAGCAGTTTTGAATGCAGTCACTACAGATGCCCATCACTTGCAAGATTATCCTGGGGCTGTGAGGGATTTCTTGAAGAGCATTTTTTCTGTTGGCTTGAATTTGCACCAAGGGCTGGTGCTTGTGGTGGTGTTCTTTCTGCTATTTTGCTCACCTCCCTCCTTTGCTATGCCTGGAAAAGGAAAGATACCAGGGAAACCTGAGGGTTTGAATGTTCAGCTGCTGTGTGGGATTCCAGTGATGTAGCTATTGGCAACACCTCCGTGTACCCTCAGCATGACTAATGAATCCACAGGTTTTTTCTCTGAGTTCTCCAGGTTAACGTGGACATGGGGTTCCTGTTGGCAACACAAGGCTGTCAGGAGCTTGGGGTTGGAGGGGGCAGTGGCTGCTGGGCAGTGACTCACTGTCTCTGGGCTCAGCTGAGATCATTCCTGGCAATCTTCAGCTCCCAGGTCTGTGTTTCACTAAGGAAGCACTGGTTTAAATGTGTGTTTGTAAGGTGAGCAGCAGCAGGTGGGATTTCCAGGTCTGTCTGTGAATCACAGGGATGTTACAAAGAATGGATGACTGAAATTTTGGTCTCTCTCTTCTCCACAAAATTCAGGCAACAAAACATTGAAGAGAACATGACGATAGCAATGGAAGAGGCACCCGAGAGCTTTGGGCAGGTGGTGATGCTCTACATCAACTGCAAAGTCAATGGACACCCCGTGAAAGCCTTTGTGGACTCAGGTGCTTTCTCCACACTCTCCATCACTGAGGGCAACAGTCAACATTCCAGTAGTTTCCCCAAAATATCCTACAATAAAGCAATGCATGACAAGATTGTGGAGCACTTTACTGAACCCTGAGCACAGCCAGAGCAGATTGTGGGGAGAAGCAGTGTGGGAACACCCTGGATTAGGGCTCCTGGGACTTCCATGCCTGGAAGGTCTCTGCCATTGTGTGTGTCTTATCTCATTTTACAGGCAGGGAGATTTCACACACCTTTAACATGGTAGTTCCCACCCACATCCTGCAAGGAGAAGTTCCTGGGGTTGTTCCATCCCTACAGTAATGGTCAGTGCTGAGCTGTGTGTGGGCAGCCAGGCCAGCACAGTGGGATTCACAGGAAGCCTTTATCCCCTGGGGCAGGTGGGTTGGTTTCCCAGCCACTGAGTGCCAGATCTTCAGCTCTTCCAGGAGAAAATACAAGTTTGTGCTGAGCCATCAGGATTTAACACCAGTTCTGTTAATGGCAGGTGCCCAGATGACCATCATGAGCCAAGCCTGTGCTGAAAGGTGCAACATCATGAGGCTGGTGGATCGGCGGTGGGCTGGCATTGCCAAGGGTGTGGGGACACAGAAAATCATTGGCAGAGTGCACTTAGGTAAGTACTGGCATTTTTGGGGCAGCTTTAGCAGGGTTTGACTGCATTTCCTGCACTCTTGGCACTGAGGATTGGTGCTGTAGTTGCTAGGAGCTCCTGCAGAGTAAAATCAAAGTGCATCTGCAATGTGTTTGTTTGTCTTGGGTGCAGAATTCTGTCTCATTTAATGCTGTAACACTTGGGCTCAGTGAGTCCCAGCTCCTGCACACACAGGACACGTTCTCTGGGGGCAAAACCCGAGGTGAATGTGAAACACCACGACCTTCCCTGTTTCAGGTGGCACTGCTGGGCAGGGTGAGCTGCTCAGGAAGCTCACACAGTGCAGTGTTTGCTGTTCCTTTGGAAAGAAAAGCCTCTGTGCTCTTGTGCAGCTTTTCTGGATGGAGGACACTGCCCTTATTACCAAAAAATCGATTCTGTTTGCTGTTGCTGCTGCTTAGACTTGTGCTCTAACAAACTGTTTGCAGCCCACAAGCTTGGAGGGTCAGAGAAGCAGGACAGGAGGTTCTCAGGCACATCAGCTTTTAAAATAATTCCTCTGGGACCATGGCAGGCCTGGCAGTCCTGGGGCTTGCACAGGGCCACACTTTCTGTGACCAAAAGGGTGCATCTGAGTGCTGGTTTCAGATTCTCCCAGACCCAAGTGGAAGAGCAGAAATCAGATTGTTGTGCTGTAGTGGGAACTTCTCTGCCTTGTGTTTCAGCTCAGGTGCAGATCGAAGGGGATTTCCTGGCGTGCTCCTTCTCAATCCTTGAAGAGCAGCCCATGGACATGCTCCTAGGACTGGATATGCTTAAGAGGCATCAGGTATCAAAACCTCTTTTAAACAGTTACCTGGCTCTTGCAGGTTTGGTGAGACGTGCAACAAAAGGACAGGAGGTTCTCAGGCACATCTAAAGTTTGTGAATTCATCTAAAGTTTGTGAATTCATCTGAAGTTTGTGCACGCCTGGCCTGTGAATTCACAGGATTTTCCTGGGGAGAGTTGATGGTGGATTATCTTCCAGCCTGGAAGCACATTCATCATGGACAGCTCTAGGGTGTCTGGCTGCTGCCTGGAGCTTTTTGTTCTGATCAAAGATGCTCAGAGCTTTCCAACAGAATGATTTATTACAAATTGAGCCAGACAGGGCCCTTTGGTTAGAGCTGATACTCCTGGCCCACCCTTACGTGCTGCGAGCCGTCCGTTGGAGATGGATTGCCTGACCCTGCGTCTCCCTTCATCCCTGGGAGCCACCTGGCTCTCTGCAGGCCCTGACATGTGGATGTGTCACAGACATTTCTTCATAGAAATCCTTTCTTTGGGATTTGTCCCTCTTCTGGGAAGCAGAGCCCCAGAAAAAGAATGTAAACAAATTGTTATCGGCTGCTGTGAAATGTGGCAGGGGTTCCTGTGATTGGCTCTCCTTCCATGTGTACCATTAAGGGCCAATCCCAGGAGCAGCTCAGGGGAGATTCCCTGAACACAGAACTTTGTTATTCATTTCCTTCTATTCTATTCTTAGCTTGGCAGTCTCTGCAAGCTCTCTCTTTATTCTTTTTAGTATAGTTATAATGTACTATATATCATATATCAATATGATATATTGATATATGATATATAGTACATTATAACTATACTAAAAAGAATCCTTCTGATCAAGGAACAAGATTCTCATCCTTCTCTCACCCCAGTGACCCCTTAATGTCACTGTAATCTGGATGCTCTCTTGCAGTGCTCCATTGATCTCAAGAAGAACGTGCTGGTGATTGGCACCACGGGCTCTCAGACCTCCTTCCTGCCCGAGGGGGAGCTGCCCGAGTGCGCGCGCCTGGCGTACGGCGCGGGCCGCGACGACGTGCGGCCCGAGGACATCGCCGACCAGGAGCTCGCAGAGGCAATACAGAAATCCGTAGAGGAAGCAGGTACCAGCAGGAGCTTGCTTGAAACAGGAATCTGTGCATTTCTTTCTGCTGCATGTCAGGATATCTGTGAGCTGTTTCCCCTTCCGGCTCCTGGGAAGCAGCAGCAGCCAGTAAAGGGTGGAGAGAAGGGGTTTGATTCTTGCTTGTGGCCTCTGAGTGCACTTCTCTCTTCCTTTCTGGGCTGCAGAACCTGCATGGAGGCATTCAGGGCTGTGAGCTGTTTATTTGATGCTCTCCCTGCAGCTTCCCACCTGCTCTGGTTTCCTGGCCCTCAAGCTGTGGAGGTTAATGGTTCTCTGTGGCTGGGATCACGTTGTAGTGCCCAGCAGGGCCGTGGCTCAGCTGTGCTGCTGCTGCAGCTTTGGGGAGGCTCCCAAAACCCTGCTCTTATTGGCTGCACCACGAAAAATAGAGCAGCTGTAGCAGTGACAAAAGTTCATGACAATTTTTAGAATTCGCACTATTTCAGCGTTTTTCCCTGCAATGGTGCTCGTGCCCTTGGAGGGGGAATTGCCTCCTTGCAGTTGCTCAGAAGTTCAAAAGCTGAATTCACATCCTCAGCCTTGAATATGACCTGCAAAGAGACCTTTCACCCTCCTGCAGTTCTGTTCCCAGTGTCCCTAGAGTCCAAATGCTGCACAGATGGCCACGTGGAGCTTTGGTGGCTGCAAAGTTGAGCGAAGTGATTTTATTTTCAGCCAAATTGCTGAAAGCTGAACTATGAGCCAAAACCAGTCTGAAACTCAAATTTTCTGTTCAATTCCCCCCTTAGTTCAGCTTTCAGCTGAAGGGGAAAGTCATTATTTTTTCCCTGCTGTTCCAGAGAAGCTGTGAATACCTCAGGGTATATTCCTTAAGCCTTTTCCAAAACTTTTAAAGATAACATTTTATATCCAAGAGTTCTCTAGAGACCTTTGAATTTTACTGCTCATTTTTCCTCTGAAAGAACACAGTAAATTCTGCTTCCTACACACATGTAGAACTCTTTGCTAGGTCAGGTTTAGGCTGATCAAGTTGATTTCAACATTTTGCTTGCTAATATTTTAAGACTCTGGTGTGCCCATATTTAAAATTGAAATGAGAAAAAAAGATTTAACCATATATTATATGTATATTTATATATCTATTAGATACTAAAATTTTTATATATATGTATCTATCTATCTATCTATCTATATATATATATCTATATATCTATATATATATATCTAGTTGAAATGCACTGAAATTTTTCTTTAACACCTCCCAGTTACTGTTTCACAACCCAAAGAGTAAGCAGTTAGTTATAAATAACAAGAAGCTGATCACATTAAGGGAAGCACAGGACTGCACTTATTGCTCCCTTTGGCCCATTTTCTTCCATCCTAAGAATATAAGTTTTCCAGAAATGTAAAACACCTCAGAAGGAAGGTCTGGCTTTAATGAATCAGTAAGAAATAGTTTAAATTTGTGACTTTTCTAGCCAAATTTGAATGTTTATTAACTGAAGTTGCAGCCAGCAGAGAGAAACACAAACATGGGTTTGACCTTGTGATGGGGTTTTGGTGTTGCTGAAGGTCAGGCTCAGAGCTTGGGCTTTGTCTGTGCCCACAGCCTGGAAGGTGGAAATATCAGTTCTTTCCTGTGAAAACCTGGAGCCTGGGTTAGCTTTCAGAATATATTTCCACTTTGGATGAGGCTTTGCAGATACTATGGTTGGTTAAATTTAGTTCTCAGTTGAAAGAGAACTAAATAACAAGCAAACCTCAGCCCAAACTATGAGTCTTTACAATAAAAGCATTTTAGACAAGTTTTTTAAACAGAAAAGTGCCTGAAATGACTTAAATCCAAGCTGCTTATGTACAACATATGGTTCTAAGGACCATGAGGCTTTGTTCAGCACTTGGACACTTTGTGTTGATGCTGAGGAATGTAAAAGATTTATGGGAATAGGAAATCCATTCTGTGTGTTCACTTAGTGCCCATAGAACACTGAGGCACAGATCTAAAGTGGCTCTTGTTCAGATTGACTGTGACAGCCCTGGCAGTTCTAGACACAGTGCTGGCCTCTGGCCCATGGGCTTTTCTTGGCTGTATCCTAAAATGTCAGCACATTCCTTTTTTCTCTCTTCCAAAACTTGAGTTGCTGCTAGGTGGTACCAAGAGAACCAAGAAAGGAAAAAAGAGAAAACGGAAGAAGGACAGAAAGAGAAAGTGATGCAGCTCCAAAGACGCTCAGCTCCCCACAACACGTGTGTTCTTTTATAACTGGAGCAATTTTTGCTGCCTTCCAGGAGATGGTACAACACCAATGGCTGCCTGCACCTGGAGGCTATTAAAGTGCTTGTTTGAATGCACCTGGATTATCCTTGAGCTTTCTTTAATCCCCTGAAGTCCACTTTAGGGAACCTCATGATTTCTGTCAGCTGCTTTGCTGATGGTTCAGCATTTATGGAAGGCAGCTGAGGTGGTGGTGGGGTTCACTGAGATCCAGGACCTCCACATCCTTATTTACCTCTGAGGGCTTGATGCTCTTTTGTGCCCGTTTCCCACCACTGGGGAACTCAGTGATCATGGAGCATTTACAAACCTGGCAGCAAAACTGGAGCTGTTTTGCTGAGGAGGAATTGTAGCCAGGCAGCTCATCCCACACACACCTTTTCATCCAGGCAGCCTCAGTCCAAGTCAGTGCCACCACAAACAGCTCAGGCTGTTCTGGGTACAGAGAGGGCTTTATCCCTGATGGTGCACTTTGTGGGGAAGAGTTTGTTCCTGGTTTTAGCTGGATCAATATCCCTGGTGGGGCTGGGACTGTTACATCTACCCCAGGAGAAGGATGACACTTAATGGAAAACCAGCTCCTGCTGCTACCTCAGTGCAAATCCCTGATGTGTCTGATCATACCCTAATTAGTGATCCAGCAGGTCAAAAGACAGTTCTGCTTCCTCCCTGAAGGGCTGGTTTGGAGCAGAGATATGAATGTAATCATTCCACACAGAAACAGAAAGGATCCCTCTGGTTTTCATGCATATCCTCTGTCACAAAGCTCTTTGCCCCCCTTAGGAAAGATGAGCAGTGGGGTGGTGTCACAGCAGGTGCTGCACTGGTTTGAGTTAACAGAGAATAAAAGGAACAGAGAACAGAAGGCTGAGGACAGGCAGGTTTCTGTTGTGTTGTGGAATTTAACGGGATTGTGGCTGGAGGTGTAGGCATGGCAAGCTGTGCCCCAGTACTCTGTAAAAGAGACTCCAGGCAAACCAGTGGTGTGTGTTTAGGAGCACTGAGTTTGGGAAGGGGAAGGGCAGCAAATCACAGAGCCTGGGTGTGTGATCTGTGGGGCCAGGACAGGCCTTCCTGAGAGGTCCTGTGAGTGATTGAACGAGTGCTGGGGCGCTGATACATCATCAAGATCAGACTGTCAGCAAGATAAGGTCACTTAATCTCCCCTGATAACCACAGCCAGCGTTCAGTGCTTCTGATAGAGATCTGCAGTTCATCTGCTCTCTGTGAGGACAAGGAAACTGTAAGCTGAGCTTGATTTTTGGGTGTTTCTCCTTTGCTTTGCTCTTCCCAGCCTTGGGCAGCAGTTCTTTTGGGGGATTTCTTTCCCCCTACAATCTCACACTTCCCTTTTGCAGCCAGCTGGTGTTTGGACACCTTCTCTCGGGTCTGATGGCAGTGCTGGGAGCACAACCCAAGAACTGTGTTGCCATCTCAGTTCCCATATCTCTGAAATGTGTCTCCTGAGTATCTCCAGCCAAAGGCAGAACAAACAAGTACAGCACGAGACACATTGTTATATTGTGTAGAGTTTACCAAGTGTCTGGTATCACCCACAGACTGCTCTGTGCCATAGCCAGTACAGAACAGCCTTTAAACTGTGCTCTGGCAGGGTTATTCTTGCCTTGGTGTGCCAGATTTGCCAGGCAGAACCTTTGTGGGAGGCAGGAGCTCCTGCAGCCTCGGTGCCGTTGTGCTGGACAGTCAGGAGGGAGCTGTGCAGGACTGTAGCCATGCATGGTGTGTGCTCTGAATGCTAACACGAGTTTGGTGTGTTTGTTTCCTAATCCAAACAGAGCGTCGGAAGCCTTGATGCATGTAGTGTGTGTTTACTGCAGCTGGAGTGGGCCACAGACCAGGTATTTAGAGCCACCCGTTCCAGTTTGTGCTGCCACGGTGCTTCTGCTGTGTCCTGACTGCTCCTTTCCTTCTGTCTTCCGTAGAGAATAGTGACAAAGAAACTACCTCACTGGAAATGCCCTCATTACCAGCTTCTGATGGGTTTCAAAATCCAGTCCAGTCTTCAGGACTAAATTCCAAGATCTCTAATCCCACAAATCAGTTACTTGATCGTTCTGTCTCTGCCCCTGCTTCAATTTGCTCATCCAAATCCAGCCTTGCAGAGCCCATTGATCCTAGAGCCGTCGAGACTTCTGACTCTTCACCTGAACACCAGATAACCCCAGGAAAAGAACCTGCTCTGGAATTACAGCATCATTCCAAAAGCTCTTCCTTGGCAAATAATGACCCCTCTCTGCACACCGGAGATGAAACCTGCTCCAGTCCAGCTTGCCTTTCACAGAAGACACTCAAAGAAACATTTAGTGCTGACATTTTAAAGGAATGTAATAAAGAACAAGATCATGGTCAGGAACATCCTCTGGAAGTGACAAAAGTCCATTTGGATGACACTGCTGCCAAGCACAAGCAGGATAAAGATGTCTATCTGTCTTCAAAGCAGGAGCAAAAACATGAGCTTCCCACAGACCATCAGATGTGCAAAGAGCCAGAAAAGGAACATCTTGAGGAGCAAACTGAGACAACTGACCCAGAACCTCCTCGCTGTGTTGGTGGGCTTGAGAAACCTCCTGTGGCTGAAGCCAAACCGCCAGAAAATCCTCCCATGGCAATGAGAGATGAACTGGAGAGAGCAGCTCTTTCCTGTGTGAAAGGGAGTATCCACCTGTCAGCCTCCTGTAGCCATGTGCACATGGAAGCCTCCATGGAAATAGATGCAGTGGAGCAGGCTGCAGCTGAAACACAGAGCTCAGCAAGGCAGCAGACTGAGAACAGACATATAACCAACCTGAGCTCAGAGGCTCTCTCCATGGAGGTGGAGTTGCTCAAGTCTCCGTCCTCCTTGAGTGATCCCCTTCCCACCAGGGATGTCCTGCAGTCTGAAAGCGCCAGTGAAATTCCTGCAGAGTATCACAAGTCAGCTAATTTGGCAGCAGACAGCTCTTCCCCCTCCAGCACCCAAGAGCTGGACATGGATGCAGGAAGACCTTCAGAAGAGCAATGTTTCCCTCTAGCATCAGCCTTGAAAGAGCTTCACAAACTCTTGGTTATCAGTCGGCAAGGAGAATGCAAGGTCCTTGCCTCGGAAGAAGTCTCCCAGCTGGAAACGGTTCAGAGAGAGCCAGCAGTGCAGCAGAAGGGACTTGCTGAAGGTGAGCAGAAAGGCTTGGATCCAGCCAGCCAGGAGCAGAGCTGTTCCTTCCCTGAGACAACACCTGAGGGTGGAGAAGCAGAGGGGAGGCAGCCCTGTGATTGTGGCAGAGAGCACATCAGCACCGGGCCCCTCAGTGCTGGGCAGCCTGTGCTCGGGCCAGGAGCTTTAGAGGGAGAGAAGGGCTCAGGTAAGAGCGATGTGGGCGTGCTGAGTTCTGCAGCCACCCCTGGGCAGCAGCAGAGCCCAGAGCAGAGGGAGGGTTTGGCAGGAGGTTCTCAGAGTGCACCTAGCCCAGCTTTGGAGCAGAGCATGCCTGGTTCCTCCACACCTGCTGCGGGTGAAGGAGCACCAGAGGATACTCAGGGCCTGTTCAGTGCTGGGAGAAGTGGCAGTGCTGCTCCTGCAGGTCCATGGCTGCTGGGTGGCAGTGAGGAACCACTGCTGAGCCCCCCAGCTGCCTACACCAGACTGACTGAAGCAGGGGCTTCCTCACCCCCTGCTTTCCCTGTGGCTGATGTCGACCGGATCCTTGGTGCTGGTTTTACCCCACAGGAAGCTCTCCAGGCCCTGGAACAAGCGGGTGGAAATGCAGATCTTGCTCTTCTCATTTTGCTAGCCAAGAGCATCGTTGTCCCCACGTAACTGTGGAAGAGGGAGCTGACTGGGGGATCTTTTCTTCTACAGGAGTATCTCAATTACACACCACAATGGACGAGCAGAATGTTGAGACAGATTTTTTTAATTATTTGCAGCCAAAGTAACACATCTCTTCTGTTTCACTCGTTAGATTTGGGCTTTGAAAGGAAAGAAAACGTCCTTGCATTGTGTGGACAGGATAGCTTTTAATCATGCATACTGGATTAAAACTACTAGTTTTATTTAAATGTACAATTTTAGAATAACCTCCAATGCTACGAATAAAAAGCAGCACCCACTGTGCTCACTGCCCTGTCAGGCACAAGCAGTTTGTGATGGGAATTGGCCACACGTGCACAGGAGGGGAGGTGCACACTGGGTCCAGCGTGGACTCTGGATGTGTTGCAGCTCCTTGGAACCCAACATCCAGCTGTTGAGATTATTCTGGAAGCTACTAAAGGTGTGTAAATGCTCCTGGATGTGTAAGGCTTTTGCCAGAGGAGTGAGGGGGTTTTTGGGAGTGTGGGTTTTCGTGTGTGTGCATGGGGAAGGCTGATGCTTATTTTTGCCAAACCCTTTTATGCTTTGATTTCGAGTTGGACTCAATGATTCTTGTGTGTCCCTTCCAACTCAGAATATTCTGTGATGCTCTTGGGCCAGTGTGTTCCAGTTTACAACATGGGGATAGAAGAAGGGAAGGGATAGAATTTGGTGCTACCAAAACTTATAAGATACATTTTAACTTATTTGGAGATGTGCTGGTATTAACTGTAAGGGGAGGGGAGGGGGGGGAAGGAGTATTTACATTTTGTTCTAGCCTTGCCCACATCATGTTTTTCCTCATGCAAAAAGAACAAGCTCAACCAGTTTAAGGCTAAACCTTAATGGTGAATTTGTTTAACAAACCAGCTGTGTGTTACGGCTCCAGATCTCCCTGTGCCCGGGGAGGAGTGAACTTCATCTCAGTGGCTCCACGCAGGGCTGTGATCGGAAGAAGGAGGAATCTGCTTTGCTGTGGTTTGTCTGGATGTCTGGGGTTGGTTGGTGGCTGTGCATGCCTGGGGGTGCTGATCTGGCTCTGACACCTCCTCCAGAGCCAGGGCTCCCCAGCAGGGGTCACAGAGCAAATGCACTGATGTGGCCTCTGCGTTACAACCATCGTGGCCTTCTGGGAGACCTCTGGTGAGTCCCCTGAGCAGTGAGGCCTCACCGAGGCTGTGCTGTAGGAAGCCCTTTCCAGATGCTCTTTTGAGAGGGAAGAACTCCTTTGTGATGCTCTGTCAGGGCTGGGGAAACAAAATTTTAAGTAGGAGCTTTGGTTCAGTCCCACTTGCAAATCTCAGAAGTGGCTTCGTGTTTGGTGTTTGTCTTGACACGTTGAGCTAAACCTGGAGCAATGGCTCAGCAGCACCAGACACGTTTTTGTTCATGGCTTCCATGTGGTCTTGTGGCTGTCTCAGGCCTGTGTCCTGGTGTTTGTGTTCCCTGTTGCTTGAGCAGGTCTCCTGTGTGTGTGCTGGGCTGTTTTTGTGCAGGTGGCATTTAAAAACACCGATTTGGTTTCATCTGTCACCTCCCAGGAGTCTGTGCTGTCATTGAGTGCTGGTGTCAGATTTGCCTCAGACACTTGGGCAGCCAGGAGATCCTCTGGAGTAATAAAGGGCTTTAAGGCATTCTGCTGTCAAATGGAGCTTCCCCATGAGCTGGGACAGTACCATCCAGACCTGGAGCTCCCAGGCAGGTTTGGCTTACATCCCTCTGCTTGTGATGGCAGCAGCAGGCACTGCCCCTTGAGGGAAGCTGTGCTTGGCTGTCTGGGGCAGCACCCAGTGATTCACTTGAGGCTCAGCTCAAAATGAGGTACTGGGGCCAGACTGCAGCTTCCTCATCTTCACCAGGCAGGTGGCAGAGTTACCCCTGCTGAAGGTTTGGTTTAATATTCTCCTTCCAATGAGCACCTCACATCAGCAGGAGCCCCTCTGTGAAGGGCAGGCTTGGGCTGGTACAGGAGCACAGTGTCAGCAGGTCTCCTTAGAAGCTTTAGGATCTATCAGAGCCATTCCTGTCTGCATCTGCTTCACCATCAGAAGCAGCAGCAATGAGGCTCCCAGGTCCAAAATGACTTCAGATGGCTGAATCTGCTCCTGATTCACACTGCAGGGCTCGGTGAGGTGGCCCTGGGAGCAAAGGAACACAGGAGCCAGAGGCAGGTTGGCTCTGTTGGATGGGGGAGAGCTGAACCTGCACCCGTTGCCTGTGTGTGGATGTACTGCCAGCTGCTTGGAGCAGCAGGTGTTGGCCCCTCAGCGTTGGCCACTCAGCGTTGGCCACTCAGTGTTGGCCCCTTGTGTCTCTCTCTCTGTTTCAGGAGCCCGTGCTCAGCTGGCCCAAGTGGTGCTGCTCTGCACCAAGCTGGTGACAGGCTCTGCTCTCACGGCCACGCTGACTTAGGCTGCACATACAGAATTTATGCTATAAAAGCTTTAGAGCATCAGCCAATCTGCTTCAGTGCTCACTTTTATTCCTTGTCAAATATAAGTTTTGAATCCCACCCTTCTGCCAAAGCTGTATGGAAGCATTTATCCATAGTGCTAGAATTCCATGGGTAACTCTCCCCAGACTGCTAGAAACAAACCCTGACCCCCAACTGATAAATATTTCTAAAACTCTTTTATCAAGCAGGTCCAAGCCTGGTGATTTAAATCTCTTCATTTCCAAGCATTGCTTTGAGTGAATGGCTATGTGCTGCTAAATTAGTGAATAATTTTTTTAGGAGCAAGATGTAGTATAACATTGGGGCAGTGGTGAGTACTTCAGGTTAAAATAAAATGTAACAGAATGTGTGCTTAGCCAACGCTGTCTGAAAGTTGTCTTTGTTTCAACGTGTGTCCTCTCTGCTGCATGCACACGCACATCCTCTGTTCAGCCTCCAGCAGTCCCTCACTGCTCCCTGTGCTGACCTGGCCCTCAGAGTGGGAGTTTGTATAGGAGAGGAGGGATGGCAGAGTGCTGTGGCTTATTGGCTGCAGCAGGGCATGGAGGTGCCACCAGCAGCTCAGCAGGTTTCCAAGGAGCCAGGTATTCCAGCCTAAAATCAGGCACTTTGTTCTTTTCTCTTCCCCCTCCTCATTAACCACTGCTGCAGTGTCCTGAATTCACATCACTTAACAAAGGATTTCACCATGGCAGTCCAGCTCTAGAGAGGAAAGCAGAGCTCTGAAGCTGCTCTGTAAAGCTGCCAGCACCTGTGGGGACCCATGTGGGCCTGTAGAGCTTCTTTCTGGGTGTGCCCTGAACCACTCCTGCTCTCTGAGATTTACTTTTTTCCTTAAAAATACTGAAGGAATTCACTTGGCCTCTTGGTGACTGCGTGTTTGTGTACACGAGGCCACAGGTGAACACAGGGGTGATGTTTAGTGGAATCCCAACATCTGGAAGTTTCTGGCCATGGGTAATTCTGACAAGAGGAGGGAATATTCCTGATGACTGTTCCTGGCCTGTTTACCTGCTGCAGGACAGAGCTGAGCTACGCTGTTACCGTGACAATCTCTGCCTCCTTGCTGTGTATGTTTAACTTTTCTATGTAGACACTCGGTCTCCAGGACTGTTAACCTTGTCTGTCCTCCATGTTCCCCTCTTCTGTGTCTCCCTCTTGCTGTCTCCTCTCCTCAAAAGTAGCAATATTTAAGTGTACTTGCTGAATGCCCAACTTCAGATCAGTTTTCTGTAAAACTATGCCATTGATGAACAAAAGGAGGAGCAGGTCCTAGAGGTTTCTTCACCAGACTTGGACTTCCTGCCAAACAGCTCCCCAGAACTCTTAACAGAAATTCAAAGAGGAGAAATCCAGAGGTGTTTCTGCCTGCCTCTCTCGGAAGTCAGCTTGGGAAACGAGGTCAGTTCCATGTCCATCATTCCCCTCTGAGCGCTCGAGATTTCTTCCTGCACTGTGTAGATGAGGCTTAGTCCGTGACCCAGAGCGCAGGGGGCTGGGTCACACTTTGACTGATGCTTCAGAGTTTTACAGACTCACGTAGGGAACTTGAGGGAATCAATACTCAGGAATCCTAAAGCTGGTTGTGTTTTGTGTCATTGACTCTCGTGGGCTGAACACGCTGCAGCCTCGCAGGCGGCTGAAGAGAGGAGTGGGTGTGTCATCAATGGGATGTGGTTCTGCCCAAAGTAATACACACTTGATTCTTTTTTGATTTTTTTTTTTAATATTGGGGGACTGTTTATCAACAAATTATGTGTAAAAAAATTTGATATTTAAAAAAAAAATGAATAAACACTTTATCATAATGCTGCTTGGTTGGTCTGTCTGTATTTCTGAGGTTGGCAGCTCTGCACTCAAATCCTTCAGTGCCTTTTTTCCCAAGGCCAGTGGATTTTCTGTAACATAAATGCTGTCATTTTGAACAGAATGAGTAGAAATCTGTGGGTAAAATTATTGAGATTGGGAAGGCCTGAGAACAGACTTGAGAAATTCCTGTATTCCCTTTCTTTGGAGATGGGCTGTTGGGTCCTTCATGAAGGACTTGGGAAAGCAGAGTAAACATAAAATGTAGCACTTGGCCATGGCCCTGTCTGCTGGGAAAGTGAGTGGGACACTCCTTGTCTCCTACCTGAATACCTCACTTCCAGCCCAGTTAGCAGATGGAGATTTATTTTTCTGGTGCTGGAAGATAATTTCTTGGGACATTAAAAAAAATTGGGATTTAAAGCCCTGGAAAGCTCATTAGAGTTTTAGTTAGAAATAGCTTTTTTGCAGTCCCATTCTCTTAGTGTCACCTAGTAGAACAGGTTTTGGTAGGGAGGTGTAGAGGATATTCCTCCTCTGAAACTTGGGGCACAGTCACTAACCCTAAGGTAGTGACTATGCCCCACAGTTCCTTACTCAGATCTAGAAAAACTTCCACTTTTCCTTGTAACAGCCCTGAGGTTTTGGCCATTTTAAATCCCTATAAACCAGAGCTGTGGGTGCTGGTGCCAGGTGAGGGACACAAACACAAGGGGTTATGATTCAGTGACCGTGACAAACTGGGCAGTGGTTTCCTCCTCACATGTTCAGAGCCCTGCACGTGATGCTGGTGTCACTGTTAGAGCTAAGTGAGGTCATTATCATGCAAACAACAATTTGAATTCAGCTCTCAGGGTGGGAAAAGGGAAGGTTTGATGTGTGGGCTGCTACAGCCTCATCATACATTGGCCCAAGGGTTGCTGTGATTTCTTCTGCTGGGAGATGATTTAAGGATTGAATGCCCTGGTTCAAAACTACTTTGAGCAGTAGTTTGTTTGTTCTGCTTGATGAAGATGATTTTATTTTGGTAATGTGTAAAAATTATGATTAATGGCACGGTTGTGTTCATGTTAAGGATTGTCCCAGTCTGAACTGGCCTGATGTCCTGAAGTTTAACAAGGTTAGGTTGTGGCTGCCCCTGGATCCCTGGCAGTGCCCAAGGCCAGGCTGGACAGGGCTTGGAGCAGCCTGGGACAGTGGAAAATGTCCCTGCCCATGACAGGGGTGGATTGGGATGAGCTTTAAGGTCCCTCCACCCAAACCATTCTGGGATTCCATGAATGGGGGCACTGGCACCCTGAAATCTGCAGCCTTTATAGAGCCAAGAGAGGCTCAGGCCCCGTGCCATAAATGTGCACTCCAAGTTGATGTATTCCTTGGTTATATTCTGTGGGCCTTTAGGAGTAGAGGTCTCCTAAAAACTTCCTGCAGAAGTTCCTGGAGTTTAACAATAACAGCTGGAGGTTCTTTGAGCAGTCCCGTGGATGCAGCAGCTGCATTAAGAGCAGGATGCAGAGAGGTGAGTGTTCCTTCATGCAATTTCCTGCCTCACAGTAGATCAAGGAATGGTCAGAGCAGGAACATGACTGAGCCATTGCTCAGGAATTCTGCAGTGCCTCCATCAGCCCCTGCCTGGCCCGTGCCTGGTGTGGCTTTGCCAAGGGAACATTTTGGGCCAGTTTGTCACCAAAATGGGATTTGGGAAATCCTGCTGGCCCACCTGGCTTTTCATTCACTGTGACCTTACATTGATTATCTGCTGTGCCTCATTCCCTGGGGTAACTGGGGGTGCTGGGACCCCCGGAAGTGACCACTAGACTGTGACATAATTACCTGCAGCAACCACTTGTGCTAATTACAAGGTGCTGTGTGCTTGCCAATAAAGCACTGAGTCAAACACAAGGATGTGAGTGGCTGGTGACTGAAATCCCTCCCAACAGCCACTGCCAAAGGAATGTCTGGTTCCCAGTCTCTGTTAACAAATGCAAATGGGAAGGAGTTTAAAACCAAACCACTTGTGCCTGTGGAAATGGAGGTGTGCTCACAGGGCTTACTGTTGACTTACCCTTATAACCCAGCAGTTTTCCTAATACTAATTTTTTCTTTCCTCCTGGAATCCATCCTGCAATTCCTGAAGTGTTTCTTGTGCCTCTTTAATTTCCCCCCAGACCACTGGCAGCATTACTGAGGTGCCCTATGACTGCACAGCATGGGGTGGTATCTTGGGAGTATCCTGCATGTAACACACAGGGAGTATCTTGGGAGTATCCTGCACGTAACACACAGGGAGTATCTTGGGAGTATCCTGCACGTAACACACAGGGAGTATCTTGGGAGTATCCTGCACATAACACACAGGGAGTATCTTGGGAGTATCCTGCACGTAACACACCTTGCTGCAGGGGTGATTCCCCTCAGTGACCCACTCTGTGCTTCCTCTCTCTCCATCCACGACAGGCACCTGATGGCTCTGCTCCCTGGGGATCATGTTCTCCAAGCCAACATGGGCTGCAAATATTGAGCAAAGAGTTAAAACTTGGGGAGAGGGTGGGAAGCAACCCAGGATGTAGTGGGAGTGGGATGGATCCTTCCAAGCTTTTCTAAGGAGAATGGGAACTGTTTAAATGCTGGGAGCGGGGAATTTTCCATGTTAATCCATAATTGTGTGGTGGGGGCTTTAAGGGATTATAACCAACTCATTTTACTCAAAGTAAAACAAACACTGGGGGCATTCAAAACATTCAGGAAAACAGCAGGACACCAGGAAGTCTGTTCTACCATAGAATCCCAGAGTGGTTTGGGTTGGAAGGGACCTTAAAGCTCCCTCCAGCCCCCATGGGATTACACAGTGCAAATGCTGCACCTGGTGCCTCCAGAGCAAGCAGGAATGCAAATGGATGCACGTACCTGCTGGTGCTGTACAGCTCGTTTGCCTTCTACTTTATGCTTTAAATCCTAAAACTCACCAGGAAAGCATAAACTGGGATCTGTTGGGCTGCTTTACAAGCAGCTGACTTTAGTCTTTCCAGTGACTTGATGGTGATCAGACTTGGGTGTTTCAGGATTTGCTCTGTCCCCCCCACACTTCAGCAGGAGAGAATTACCTTCCTCCCCACATGCCAAGACAAGCTCTGATCCTTGGGATCCCCTTTAATGCAATGTTTCTGCATCTCCAGAGGTTGGTGGGGAGCTGGGAAAAGTGTTTTGGTTTGGCTCAGTTCTAACGCATGCACCTTCCCTTCCCTTCCCTTCCCTTCCCTTCCCAAACCTTCCCTTCCCTTCCCTTCCCAAACCTTCCCAAACCTTCCCAAACCTTCCCTTCCCAAACCTTCCCTTCCCAAACCTTCCCTCCCTTTCCCCCATGGTTTCCAAAGCTGTTAAACTGGCTGGGCCATTCCTGGAGGGAAAGAGCAGACTTGGCCTGGTGTGGTTTTTCCATCCAAGCCCTTGCTCAGCCCTTCCCTTCCCTGCCAGCAGGTTATTTATGGAGGAAGGGGTGGGAATGGCAGGGAATGCACTCCCAGAAGCTGCTGGCTTTCACATTTTTTAATTGCTTTTACTTTCAGTTCCATTTTCAGTTACCATGGTTGGGTGATGCAGGCGCTAGGCTAGCCCCAAGTCACAACCCTTCACCTCAGCCTCAGGTTTTATTTGTAATTTATCTTAAGCCTTTTCATCAACTCCTGTCTCTGTCCTGTGACAGCAAATGAGGCTTTTACTTGAGGTTCATAGGAACTGTTCCCACCAATGGAGGGTTGGGCTGGAACAATGTGGCCCAGTTTTGGATCCATGGTGCCACCAGCACAGGGAGCCCAGCAAAGAGCTGGATCCCCCATTTCAGGTTGCTGGAGCAGAAATGAAGGAAGCACTGCTGAAGCCTGAGGTGGTGGGGTGCCATATGCATCCCCCATTTTTCCCTCACCACTGATAATTTCCTTTGAAGCCAGCACCCCAAAGTGCAGCCAAGCTGCAGGCTGGCCTCAGAGGGCTGTGTGGCTGGTGGTCACCTCATGTCCCCAAACCTACTGTGTGTGCACTCAGCAGGCACCCAACAGCACTGTCCCCTCCTGTCCCCCTGGACTGTGAAGGAACCAACTCCCCTTATCCACCTCACATCCCTCCTGGCTGTGAAAGAACCAATGCCACCTTCTCCTGTGTCCCCTCATCAATGCCACCTTCTCCTGTGTCCCCTCACTGTGTCATGGCAGTCTCTCAAATGCCATCTCTCCTCTTTGAGGTCAGGGCCATGACAGACCCAAGGCCATCTCCCCTCATGCTCCTCAGTGTCCCCAGTGCCATCTTCCCCCACATCCCCTCACTAATCCCAGGGCTGTGAGTGAGCCAGTGCCATCTCCCTCTATGCCCTCACTGTCCTCCACATCATGTCCCCTCATGTCCCCCCACTGAGCCCCGGGCTGTGAGGGACCCAGCCCCACCTTCCCTCACTGTCTGCCGTGGCACATCGCCTCGCGTCCCTCACTATCCTCTCACATCCCTTCAGCTGTCTGCAACGCCATCTCCCCTCAGGGGCTCATGAGAGATCCACCGCCATGTCCCCTCACGGTCCCCTCGCCGCTGCCGCGGGCGCCATTTGGGGCGGGCTGGGTTCGACCCGGCTGTGTTCGGCTCCAGTCGGCTCCATTCGGCCGGGTTGGCCTCGGCCGGGCCGGGTTGGGCTCCGATCGGCTCCCTTCGGGTCGCCCGGGCCGGGCTGGGCCCTCATCCCCGGGCGGGGCGGTGCCGTTGCCGGTCCGGGGCGGTCCCGTTGCCGGCCCGGGGCGGTGCCGTTGCCTACCCAGGGCGGTCCCGTTGCCGGCCCGGGGCGGGCAGCGCCGCTCGCTCCCTCCCTCCGTCCCTCCCTCCTCTCCCGTGACCTCAGTTCCCGGCGGAGCGCGGCCCCAGCGCGGCTCGGCTCCGCTGTGCTCCTGCGGGGCCCGCTCGCCCCCGCGCCCGGCCATGGCGCGCTGAGCGCCGCGGAGCCGCCAGCCCGGGGCCGGCCGGGGC